AAGATTTCCATGCCCCAGAGGAAAACCAAAAATAGTTTTCTGTTTGCTGACAAAAATAATGGCATGCATTAACTAAAAGGAAAAGTGATGCCAAAGGTCTTGCCAGCAGTGCAGAATTTGTGGAGGGGATGGCACGTGCAATTTAACCATGCAATATCACATCTTGCACACACTGAACACGCGTGATATCAACTTTACACAGTTGAAAGGCTGGCCAGTTGAAATAACAGAAATTAAATGCACAGAAGGCAGAGAGCTTCAAAGCTTTTTTTGTGCAGGGCTCTCCAAGCATGGAGATAGATTTTAAGCTCTCAGACTTGCTTGCCAGGCTCTGGGAGGCTCTTGTTAGATCTTGGACAGCCTCACAAAATTATTGCCTCCCAGAGTCCACTAAGCAAGACAGAGAGCTTAAAAGCTCTCCCCACTTGTGCATGATTTAGAGGTTTGTCTGCCCCATTTGCAGGAGTACGCTAGCCAGGGCATGCTGGTTGTATATAGGGCTATGTGGGAGGACTAAACAACAAGGGGCTGCTTTCGTTTGCTAGTGCTTTGGGGCTCACTAAGTATCTGAAATGGGCCTTGATGGCAGCTGAATATGTGAGTCACTGGGAAAGCCTTGCCCTGTGAGCGATATGAGAGTTTGTCTGCAGTGTCAGATCTAAGATGACTCATTCACATATGTCTGTCATCACTTGGTTTCCTATTCATCCAGTGGGGAACATTCATGTGTGAGCCAGCTCTTTAAATCAAAACAGCAAAGTGTGTAAAAGTCCACAGGAGAGAAAAAAATGAGGAGCCACAGAGATGTTTGGAGCATGGCTTTTGCCTGCCAAATCACAACCGATAGCCACAAGTGAAGAACACCTGCAAAGCAAATGATACACATTAAATGCACATTTGTTCCTATCATCTAGGGATGCATCTTGTGTCTGGAATTAATTGGAAGGTCTGTATTTATTCCTAGACCTTCATTATTTCACCCAGCTCAATGATTTAGAAAAGTGCCATGTGACACCAATTTAGTCGCTGGCAGGGTTCAACTGTGACAAACTCACATGAAAGAGCATTAATTTCAGCAAATGAATTGTCAGGTAAAAATGAAACAAGAAATAGATGGTTTCGTCTCCCCATCCTGCAGTCCTGATCATTTAATAATTATGGGACAAAGAAAGATGCCCTTATCTCAAACTAATAAAATTAACCATGTATAAGGCTAACTTTGGTCAACATCGAACATTCATTTCAAAAATACAGTAAACCTGCACTATAGTAGTCTTAATTATGTAGTGCAATATTAGTTAAAAAAAAAATAGTGTACTTTTTGTTCTTGCTGCATGGCTGCTGCCTTGTATATTTGCATTGTAGTAGCCTTCTTTAGAATGGGAAGGGTGCTGTGGCTCACCAGATATTGGTGAACAACCCCTCTCATCAGCCTCTGGTCAAGGATGATGGGAATTGCAATGCAGAACCACCTGGAGAGCCACAGATTCCCTTTCCCTGGTTTAAAGAAATGGGAAGCTCTGGATTCTAGTTTATGCTCACAAACCACTTTATCAGGTGGTGTTAGTCATACTGCTGTTCTGTCAAGCTCCAGTCCCACAACCACTATATAGGCCAGAATGGCATAAATTACAGGTTGTACTGATACAACATTAACATACAACTGCCCACGTTGGCATGGGGCCTCTGGTAGATTGCCCAGAATGGAATGTAGCCATTGAACTGAAAATGGTTCCACACTCATGGTTAATGGCATTACTAAACTTGCCCTTTCTGTATCTATTCACTTTTGTCACTAAAAGAAGAAAAAAGGTCACTCTTGAGTTGTGGGTGTGGTTCAGCTGTAGAATGATAGCTGAACCATGACTCTAAACCCTGATTTACCTCCTCAAATTATGGCTGAAGAGGCAGATCTTTTTTAACCACCCCATCTTCTTAATAACAGGCAGGTTCTAGGGCCAGCCTGAGTTCAGATCCGCGTTATAATGCCCTAGAGGATCCCACTGCCACCCCCAGCTCAGACTGGGACCAACTGATGGACACTTCAAGGCTGCCACCCCACTCAAAAAGAATCAGGTGAACAAAGTTTCTCAACTGGTTCCTTTCCCAGTTTTGTACCTTCCTCCAGGAACCCAAGAGCAGAGTCAGCAAAAAGCCTGAGATTCAAATGCAAGTGCACATCTAGTGTGTGCAACCTGCCACCAGCTCTGGAACAGGAGCCAGCTGGTGCTCCAAGAAGGGATGGGGAAGCTGAAAAACTACTCTGTTGCAGTCTGGCTGGTGCTGGTGCTCCTTGTGAACTTGGACTGACTCATTGGCTGCACAGGTAAAAAGGTAAAGGACTCCTGGACAGTTAAGTCCAGTGAAAGGAGACTATGGGGTGTGGCACTCATCTCACTTTCAGGCTGAGGGAGCCAGTGTTTGTCCACAGACAGCTTTCTGGTTCATGTGGCCAGCATGACTAAGCCGCTTCTGGCACAACGGAACACCATGACGGAAGCCAGAGTGCATGGAAACACTGTTTACCTTACCACCGCAGCGGTATCTATTTATCTACTTGCACTGGTTCTTTCGAACTAGCAGAAGCTTGGACAGAGCAAAGGGAGCTCACCCTGTCGCATGGATTCGAACTGCCAACCTTACGATCGCCCAAGAGGCTCAGTGTCCCTTTCCCTTTACCATTGACTGGACAGCTCCTCTGCTCATTCAACATATCGTACTTTGCCTTTGACCTGCTATTCTTGTGCTTTAGATGGCTCCCTAGTCATGCCAGTATAATGGAGAATCCTGCGAAACCTTTCAGGACTGGCAGCAATGGGGCAGAAACCATTTATCACCCCAGCTTCTGTGTATGCTTTGCTGATCCATAGCTTTTTAGTTAGCTGGAGGCAATACTGAAAAACTGTAATTGAATCATAGAATCATAGAGTTGGAAGAGACCACAAGGGCCATCGAGTCCAACCCCCTGCCAAGCAGGAAACACCATCAGAGCACTCCTGACATATGGTTGTCAAGCCTCTGCTTAAAGACCTCCAAAGAAGGAGACTCCACCACACTCCTTGGCAGCAAATTCCACTGTCGAACAGCTCTTACTGTCAGGAAGTTCTTCCTAATGTTTAGGTGGAATCTTCTTTCTTGTAGTTTGGATCCATTGCTCCGTGTCCGCTTCTCTGGAGCAGCAGAAAACAACCTTTCTCCCTCCTCTATGTGACATCCTTTTATATTGCCTGCAGTCTACTTTTTCTTGCCCTGCCATAAGGCTATTTCATGCATGCATGCTCAGTGCTTGATTACTGAAACAGTGAGTGGTGCTTATCACTTCCCAGTTTGCCCTTTATTGTCACAGGACTACCTGTGATAAGAGGGAGAATTGCAATAGCTCAAGGTGTAAGAAGCTGCCTGGTATCAGACCACATTTCCATTAGCCCTGTGTACTTCCTAACCCAAAAGGAAGCAGTTCTCAAGTGGTCATCTTTTCTACTCCTGCCACCTGAGTTCCTTTTAAGTGGACAAGCTAGCAGCTAAATGCCTTGAAACTGTGATCAATAAGGTATCCCCCCCCCCCACTTTCCAGAAACAAACAGTGAGCATTACGTTAAATCTCTGTTCCTTTGACCATGATAGAATGTATCATGATAGACCATGATACAATCAAATATGCATTGTTGCACGTTACAGCCTGTTTCATCACTTTTTGTGCTAAAAGGACAAATGTCTGCTGTATGTCAAGTCTAACTATTGCAGAAGCACCCCAAAACCGACTTCCAAATATTCATGCTCTGGGTTGTGAATTGTGCTGTTAGAGGACAAGAACTCCATTTTGCTTTTCAGCAAAGATAAAGCTTACCCTGACATGGTCCTCTTAATCTAGGACAGGCTTCCTCAACCACGGCCCTCCAGATGTTTTTGGCCTACAACTCCCATGATCCCTAGCTAGCAGGTGTGGGATGTAAAACACAGGAGCAGTCAATGACAACATTCCTAGAGTGTACATGTTAGAACATGGGGAGGGATGTCTAGCAAGCAGGTAAACTTCCTGGGGACGGACTTGCTCTGCATGTGACTAGAGGTGGGTGTGGCCTCACCTGTGCAGGTAAATGATAAAAGCACAGGGCAGGCAGCCATCTCTCTCTCTCTCTCTCTGCCATCTTCCTTCGAAGAAGCAACATGCCCTCTTGGCTCTCAGCCAAGAGAGGAGGAAAGGACTATCTTCCTATGATAGATTCTAAATGTATTTTACCTTTTAAAGCCTGTCTGCCTTCTGGGATCATATTGTGAACAGAACGTGAGTAAACTCTTATACTTTTATAAACTGTGTCATATCTTGTATTTTAAGAGGGAACAAAAGGGGAAATTACCAGAGTAATTATTACAGAGGTTCTAGCAAACCTGTGCAGATGCTACCGTTGTGAACTTTAAAAGGGAATGTTTATAAACTCTGCTAATATTTTGGAAACTTGTTAGCACAAGTTGGATTAGGATATAATCCCACAATATATCCTCTCCTGCACCCCTGAACATTCCCACAAAGGGTTATTGGCCCCAGTATTGCATATTTCTGCGGATTTTTGAAGGATTGCGTTGGATTGTGATTTTGAGTTGAGTGGTATTTTTCTGAGAGAACTTCCTGGTAAGCACATGGTCCTTTGTTCCATTGTGGAGTGGGGATTAAGCAACCCCCCCCCCTTCCCTCAGAGTTCACAGTGACCCAAGTCAGTGAAGAATTGTTTTGTATTTTGAGATTTTTGAGATTTTGATTTTAAAATTTTGAGAAATTTTGAATTTTGAAGAATTTTCAAATTTTGGATTTTAAGATGGCTAGAGCTGCTTTTGATAGTGATGCAAAGCTAGGAATGCCTGTGCTGAATGAATACAATTTCATACACTTGAAGCAGCGCTTGATAGCATGTTTAGATTATAAGCACATTTTGGAAGCTTTAAACCCTCAACCTACGGGATCGTCTGAGGAAGCTTTAGCCAAGATAAGTGCTTAGAAGCGCATGAACAGCGAAACTAGACACGTAATTTTGACTGGACTTCGTGATGAGCAGCTATCATTAATAAATAGTACAGATGATGCATCTCAAATCTTAAAAGATATTGAGCGTGTATATGGAGAATCTAGCATAAACTGCTACAGAAACTTGGTGTGTAAATTAATCAGATTGAGGATGAATTCAAAAGAGGACTTCACAGAGCACATCAACAAGTTTACTGAGATTATTCAGAGGATTGATCTGACTCCCAAAGCTTTTGATGATGATACAAAGATAGCATTTTTGTTATCATCACTTGGGCCACGTTTTAGAGCTTTTGTAAGCTTGATGGACCATGGAGAAGGTCTGACTTTTAAAGACTTGATTGGTTATTTAAAAGAATGAAGATAGAGCTGAATCTCCAGTGAGAAATGCTAGAAGCAAGGACAGTAGTTATGTATCTAGGCAATTTACAAAGTCCAAAGAGATGCCTAAGAAAGTGATTTGTTTCAATTGTAACAAAGAAGGACACATTGCAAAGAACTGCAAAGCTCCTAAAGCAAAGAAACCCCACCCCTTTCAGCCAAAAGGGGAAAAGAAGGGGAGTGAATGCACATGGTTGCTGCAAGAAAGGAATTTAACTGTCCAGAATCGGGAAAATAAACGTAATAAATGGATTTTGGATTCAGGTGCATCTTCCCACTTTTGTCATAAAAGGGACTATTTTAATGAGATAAATGATGAAGAAGGATCTGAAATTGAGATTGCAGATGGCAACATTGTTAAAGCAAAAGGTGCAGGTTCCATGAGCTTGAAATGCAATATAAACAATGACTGCATTGAGAACACAATCTCTAGAGTTTTGTACATACCAGAGCTGAGCTGCAATTTAATCAGCGTGTCCACTTTGGACAAGAAAGGTTTCCAGATCACATTTGGAAATGGAGAATGTAAAGTGACTAAAAACGGCAAAGTGTTTGCTCAAGCAAAGCTAATAAATGGTGTATATGAGCTTGATCTTTCAGAGAACCAGTCTGCAAAAGTGGCACATTCCAGCCAGAAGGATGAGGCAGATCTGGACCTATGGCACAGAAGGCTTGGACACAGAGATACCAGCGTCATTTTGGATCTACAGAAAAGAGATCTTGTAAGAGGTTTGCAGGTAAAGCAGAGCAACAAAGCTCCAGCAAAGTGTGTAAGCTGTATTACTGAGAAGGCTGTAAAACCTTTGTTTCCATGTTATGCAGAACAAAGAAGCAACAAAGTGCTTGACATAGTGCACACTGACATATGTGGACCCATGAATGTTCCCTCACTGGGAAAGAATAGATATATTTTAATATTTCTGGATGACTTTTCAAGATTTTGTGTTGTATATTTCCTCAAAGAGAAGAGTGAGACAGTGGACAAGCTCCAGGAATACATTGCCATGGTCAAGAATAAATTCCAGAGAGCTCCAGCTGTGTTAATGAGCGACAATGGAGGTGAGTACTGCTCAAATGAAATGCAGGCTCTCCTGGCCAAGGAAGGAATTGCACACGTAACCACAATTCCTTACACACCACAGCAGAATGCCATAGCTGAGAGAAAGTTTAGGTCCATTATGGACATGACAAGGTGTATGCTAAAGGATGCATGTTTGCCACAGAAGCTGTGGGCCGAAGGAGTATACACGTCGGTATATTTGCAGAATAGACTGCCAACTAAAGGAGCAGAGCACACACCATTTGAACTTTGGCATGTGAAAGCTCCCAATCTGTCGCACATACGTGTGTTTGGAAGTCCGTGTTACTTCCACGTGCCCAAGGAACACAGACACAAGCTTGACTCCAGGGCAAAAGCAGGTATCCTTGTGGGATATGCTTCTGGAGGCAAAGGATGAGCATGACTGGGCAGGTGTAAAGAGGGTGGTGCGATATTTGAAGGGTACCATGAATTGTAAATTAAGGTTACCAGCCGTCAGAGACCCTAAATTGGTTGGGTATACTGATGCTGATTGGGCTGGGGATAATGCTGACTATAAATCAACAAGTGGTCATGTTTTTATGTTTGGGGATGGACCTGTTGCATGGGGCAGTTATAAACAGAACTGTGTAGCATTATTTTCCACAGAATCAGAATATGTTGCAGCAACAGAAGCCTGCAGAGAGATCGCCTGGCTTGATCAACTCATGAAGGACTTTGGGTTGGTGAGAAAAGGGCCTGTCAGCTTGCTAGAGGACAATCAAAGTTGCCTGAAGCTGACGCAGAGTGAGAAGTTCCTTGCCAGAACAAAACACATTGGGGTTAAATACCACTACATACGCCAGATGATCCAGGATGGACTTGTGGAACTATCCTACTGCAGCACCCAAGAGATGACTGCTGACATCCTCACCAAGCCCCTACCAAGAGAGAGTTTCCAGAATCTACGTGTCAAGCTGGGACTGGGTGGTTGAATAAAGTTGTTTATGTTTTGTGTATGTTGTATTGCCTGAGAAGGGGTATGTGGGATGTAAACACAGGAGCAGTCAATGGCAACATTCCTACAGTGTACATGTTAGAACATGGGGAGGGATGTCTGTCCAGCAAGCAGGTAAACTTCCTGGGGACGGACTTGCTCTGCATGTGACTAGAGGTGGGTGTGGCCTCACCTGTGCAGGTAAATGATAAAAGCACAGGGCAGGCAGCCATCTCTCTCTCTCTCTCTGCCATCTTCCTTCGAAGAAGCAACATGCCCTCTTGGCTCTCAGCCAAGAGAGGAGGAAAGGACTATCTTCCTATGATAGATTCTAAATGTATTTTACCTTTTAAAGCCTGTCTGCCTTCTGGGATCATATTGTGAACAGAACGTGAGTAAACTCTTTTATGCTTTTATAGACTGTGTCATATCTTGTATTTTAAGAGGGAACAAAAGGGGAAATTACCAGAGTAATTATTATAGAGCTTCTAGCGAACCTGTGCAGACGTTACCGTTGTGAACTTTAAAATGGAATGTTTATAAACTCTGCTGATATTTTGGAAACTTGTTAGCACAAGTTGGATTAGGATATAATCCCACAATATATCCTCTCCTGCACCCCTGAACATTCCCACAGCAGGACCAGTGCTCAGGGATGATAGGAATTGTAGTCTCAAAACATCTGGAGCGATGAGGTTGAGGAAGCCTGATCTAGGACAAGAATTTGATCAGCCTCATTTTTATTTATGCAAAATTTTCAGGAATGAATGAACAACTAAATGGCAAGCAGGGCAGCAAAAAAGATTTTGCCTAACCATAAACTGCATTACTCATAGCAAAATAAATTAGAAGGGAGGAAAAATATTGGAAGCAATTGTCCTAAAATGGCGAAGTGTATCAGCAGTAATCACCCTATGTTTCCTAATACACAGTATAATTTTCTCCCTTACTGAACTGGAGCAATTTTTTGATTCTGCTTCTTGCTTTCAACATTCCAGCAAAATTATGTGGATATCATATCTCGTGTTCTATTACTCTACCTGTCACTTCAACCACCCACTGTATTAAGCAGGTCTCTGGTTTTATTCCTTAGCAGATTATTAAGGACAGTAGACTAGACAAGTGTGGGTAGAGGAGAGGAGAGAATGAGTTTATATGTCAAATAGAACTTCCTCTGGTCTGTCCTGAATCTGCTGCCAATCAATTTGATTGTGTGATCCAGTTCTATCACGAGAGAGAGAAAATACAAATTCTCCTGTTTTCCAGTAAAGAGCAAAGCCCTTGCACCTTGTACCCCCAAGCAGAAGTTTCCAAATAAAGCCCCTCCCCCTCGGGGGGGTGTTGCAGGCAGGCCCTGTGCTTTCCCCATGTACAGGGGCGGGGGGGGCGTGGCAATGCCACCCATGTCGCAGGGAGCCCCAGTTGCGTCATGCCCCACGGCTGACCAATCCAGTCGACTGGGGAATGTGGCTTGCGCTATTTAAACAGTCACAGTGCCGGGGGGGGGGGTGTCTTCCTGCCTTCTTTCTCCTCTGACAGATTTCCCGCCCTCCCGCCCTATTTCCATGCGTTTGCCATCTTGGCCTTGCTATGGACAATGGTTGGTCACCTGTTGAGGGGGCCAGGTAGGAATTTTCTCACTTGGCAAATTGGCAGCAGCTATGTGGTTTTCGCCTACCTCATAGCAATCGTCACAACTTTGTAAGGTTTGGAGGTTAGGCATTGGTAAAACATGGTTTATGGGAGGGGATGTGTGGCCTTCACCTGCCCCTCCCCTTTTAAGGGCATTCTGTCAAAGGGATCTGGGGGTGTGGATCTCGTCCGAAGCCCATGCCACGATCCCAACAGGAGCCGAGCTTGATGTGCAGCGGTGGGAAGAGTATTCTGTCTCTGTCGTTGACAACGTTCCTTTTTCTGCAAGGCACCAATTCCTCCCGCACAGGCCAGTCCTTCTTCGTGTAATGCTGAGCACGATCCCTACTATCCCACATGCACAGAAAACATGGGTACTTGGTGAAGCCAGACTGTTGTCCCAACAAAAAGTTCATCATCTTCAGGTCAACACAAATAAACCACATGCTGATCATAACCAATTTTCTCCAGCACATAGTTCACCGCTTGATAGTTCTCCTTCAGTGTAGTCGAGTGAGCCGGGGTATAGAGGCAAACTGGTTGCTGTTGTGTAGCAGAACACATTTCACTGATCGTTTGCTGCTGTCAATGAACAGTCTCCAATCTTTGGGTTCGTACTGTGGCACTCCAAGCTTGAGCAGAAGCTGTGCAATATCTGCACAGTACACCAAGTCCTTCTCTTCCGAGAAAAAACGAAGGTACTCTTGATGCCTGTTGCGGAAGAAGCTGATGCGAGCACTGTCAGAGAGGAGGATTTTTCCTTCAATCTGGATGCCAACAGTTCGGCAGAGTCCTTTGACAAGCTGAGGTCACGAACTAGATCATTCAACTCCTTTTGGGAAAATGGATGTGGTGCATCAACGTCAAGAACCACTTCTTCTTCTTCATGTCCTTCAACACTGGAGGCATCTTCGTCACTAATGTCAGGAAGTTCTCCGAGATAGGCACTGGAATTTCATCACAATGAGCTACAGGACGACGTGCTGATTGAAGATCAGGATACTTGAGGCTGCTCTGGTTCTTTCTGTTGATCCCAGTCACATCAACAGCGCAGAAGTAGCAGTCAGTGACATGGTTTGTCGGCTCCCTCCAAACCATGGGAATTCCAAACAAAATTAGGTACAAATTAGTCATAAGTTGGCGCATGCGCGGGTGGAGTTTCCTATACACTTCGTGGGGCGTCTGTCCCATTAACTTAGTTTTGATCCCCCAACTTTATGCTTTGCCGCACCAATTTATGTAAGATTTTGAGGTTTTATGACTTCAAACTGATCCCTTTTCGACATAATCACCCAGAACTATCGGACCTGAATATTTCTTGTCATTAAAATAATCATTTCCAATCAAAACAATTATTTGACATGGCATTTTACCCCCACCAACTTCTTCTAAAATGCTCCACACAAGCGTACATGTGAACAAAAACGTAAAAAAAACGACATGTGGCTATTGCTCAAAAACTTGACCTGATTGAGCAAAACCAATGTGATTTTTGGATTCAGTGCATCAGATTCATCCTAAATAAACTGAAAAAACGCAGACAACACATTTGTTGTTGACCAGTGAAAGGTAAAAATTTGTCGAAAATGTATGTTATTGTTGGAGTGGCATACAAAAGATGAACAAGTTAAATCTGTGATGATAGATTGGGCAAGAGATGTAGGACATAATACAATGTTTGAGGATTGGGAAAGACTGTGGAAGAAAGGGGTAAAGTTCACTGCATGTACTGTGTTAATGGAAAATATAATGAAAATGATGTACAGATGGTATTTGACTCCTGTTAAATTAGCAAAGATATATCATAACTGATAATTTATGTTGGAAATGTAAAGAAAAGGAAGGAACTTTTTACCACATGTGGTGGACCTGCCCCATGGTGAAAGACCTCTGGGAAAAGATCAAAAGAGACTACGAGGCTCTGGGCAGGAAATTGAAGCAATTAAATGCACAAATTGTCATCTCATCTGTCCTCCCAGTTGAACGACGTGGCCCAGGGAGAGAGGGAAAAATAGTGGAAGTGAACAGCTGGCTTCGCAAATGGTGTAAAATGGTTTGGATTCTTAGATCACGGACTGCAGTTTCTTGAAGATGGACTTCTGGCAAGCGATGGGCTGCACCTCACAATGGTTGGGAGGAATGTTTTTGACAAAAATCTCAGAAACCTCATCAGGAGGGCTTTAAACTGACTAATGTGGGGGAGGGAGACAGTGCTCCTGAAGGTAGGAGTCTATCAATTGATGAAGATGATCATCCAAATGTCATAGACCAAATGGAGCAAACAGCACGCAGACCTAGTGGTGGGAGGAAAAAATCCTTAAAAAAGAGACACGGGGGAATGATTAATAGACTTCAATGTCTGTACACTAATGCGCAAAGCATGGGAAATAAACAAGATAAGCTTGAGCTCTTGGTACAGCAAACTAAATATGACATAATAGGCATCACTGAAACCTGGTGGGATAAGTCCCACAATTGGAATGTAATAATGGAGGGATACAATCTATTTCAGAGAAACAGACCAGACAAGAAAGGAGGAGGAGTGGCGTTATATGTCAGGGATGTGTATACCTGTGAAGAGAGCCAAGATTTAGAACCTCAAAGCCAAAGTGAGAGCATTTGGGTCAAAATTAAGGGAGACTCAATTTCTTGACTTTAAGAAAGCCGACTTCATAAAACTTAGGGAAGTGCTGGGTGAGATCCCATGGACAGTAATACTAAAAGGAAAGGGAGTTCATGATGGCTGGGAGTTTGTTAAGAGGGAGATAGTAAAAGCACAACTTCAGGCAATACCAATGAGACGGAAACATGGAAGGTGCCTAAACAAGCCAGGGTGGCTATCTAAAGAACTTTTAACTGAGTTAAGATTAAAAAAGGATGTGTACAAAAAATGGAAAAGGGGGGAAACCACCAAAGAGGAATTCAAACAAATAGCCAGCACGTGTAGACACAAAGTCAGAAAAGCTAAAGCACAGAATGAACTCAGGCTTGCTAGAGAGGTTAAAAGCAACAAAAACGGCTTTTATGGGTATGTTCGTAGCAAAAGGAAGAACAAAGAAACAGTGGGGTCAATCAGAGGAGAAGATGGTGAAATGCAAACAGGGGACACAGAAAGGGCTGAACTCCTCAATGCCTTCTTTGCCTCAGTCTTCTCTGATAAAGAAAACAATGCCCGACCTGAAGAATTTGGAGCAAATGATTCAGCAGAGGAAACACAGCCCAGAATAACTAAGGAGATAGTACAAGAATACTTGGCTAGTTTAGATGTATTCAAGTCTCCAGGGTCAGATGAACTGCATCCAAGAGTATTAAAAGAACTGGCAGATGTGATCTCAGAACCACTGGCAGTCATCTTTGAGAATTCCT